CCAAACCGAACCGACCCACAGACAGCCCTACACACAATAACGAAACTTGAATTTGGAGGGCGCATCTCTTAGAAGATATGATTTCTTACCCACGATGGATTGAATAAAAACTTTTTACTACTGACGTGATAAGAAAATTTTACTTGTTGTTTTCTTAAAACAATTATACATTAAAGAACCATACGTACGGTTTCCCTTGTCATATCAACGGCGAGAATTTTATATCCTGCTTGCTTGGAGCGGAAGATCAATCCTAAGATACTTTTTATTTTCAAGAGGATAAAAGATAGAGCCTTTTTTAGAACTTTATGTACGTCGTATTTTACTCGACTTAAATAATGTACGTGTGGATTAGTAGCGTCTATATGAGTATTAAAAGACATAATTTTTTAGCACTTTATGTTAGTCATACCCTAATCGATGTAAAATTGAAAGATCACTTCATCAATGCATGTAAAATTGGACCAAGAAACTTGGAATGAGGCTAACTATATTCTCAGTATTCATATTTGCAGTTGGGAATAACAAGTGAACATTCTTATCAAGTGCTTTGTATATTGATATATTTTGATTAAATTTGCAATGTACGATTTTAGGAAAAACTTATTTCCTTTTAAGAAATGCATTTTAGTCATTGGAGAATAGTCCGTTAAGACTCTCGAGGAAGAGAAACATATGACATGGAAATAATGGGATCCTATGTATTAATTACTTGGCTCGTGTTTATATACACGCGAGTTTCTTTTTCTTTTTTACCTATATCGAATTATCTACAGGCATTATCCATTTATCCATAAAAACTTCCCGAACATGCTTTAGCGTGTGTGAGATCTCTGTTATGCTATCTGTTACAGTATATATGATATTTGTTATGATGCCTCGATAGAGAGTCTAATCCTGAACTGAATTGATAGAGGTAACAAATATTCTCAAGTAATTACTTAGGACGAGAGACTAGATACTTGCATAGTTTGGAGCCAGTTTAGTACATATAAAGTATTAATTCGAATTTTCGATTTAAGAAAAAACTAGAAAGTTGACATTTGTTCAAGTCTTTACCATAAGAAATTAAGAATAGGTGTTTCGAGTGTTAAGCAATCTTTTTGTAGTATATCCCTTCAACACTTTAATGTGATATTGAGATAGTGGCATCATCCAGTGAGCCAATACACAAAAGGGTAAGCACACTGGAAAAAGAAAAAAACCATCTCCTTTTAAAGATTCTCCACCACAAAGACGCACAAAGATGTCACTACGTAAGGGCAACTCCAACCCGATACTAACTTGGTGTTGGTATGAAAATGCTCCTCCAACCGAACTTCAAATTATGACACCAAATCAGTGTAATAAATAGTGTTGCACCACTTCATTTGGTGGAACAATTATATAATTTTTTTGTATTGTGATGTTAAATATAATATTTTTAAATTGTGGTAATAAGTGTACTATTTTAAAATTTACTTAAAAGTAGTTTTTAGTAATATAAGTAATAATAGAATTTGTAAAAAGTAGTTTTGAAAGGAAAAACTGTTTATTTGATTTAATATTTGGTGCAATAGNNNTTTGATTTAATATTTGGTGCAATAGTTGGAGATGACTAAATAAATGGTATGCAAATTAATACCATTTCAGTGAAATGGATTGAAAATGGCCTACAGAATGTGAGCTTGTTTGGGAGGGATTAAAATCGAATTAAAATTGAAAATATAGTCGTTATTGTTGACTTTTATTAGACGGGTAAGACCCAATAACGACTATATTTTTAATTTTAATTGAATTAAAATCACTCACAAACAAGCTCTGTGTATGAGCTGACAAGTTACTAACAAATGTTTGAAGTGATTCAATTTAGCCACTGTTTAAGCCTCATTTTTATGTTAAAATGAATTTTAATATAGTGAATTTTTTTTAAAATGTGTGGTAAAAAGTAAGGAAAATTTTTGGATTTACGCGTAAATTATTTTATTGATAAAATGTGTGATTGAAAATGAGCATGAGAAAAAATGAATTATTGGATAATAGGGATCAAACAGGAAATTAGTAAATGTTTGAAGTGATTCAACTTTGTCATTTGGCGATACATTGGAAAACGAACCAAAGTACTATGCACGTTCTTGATAAAAATCAAAGGGTAACGCTATGTAGCCAATAGTAGATATGTTTCTTAAATTTCATATCGTTAAATTTAATTGAACTTATTATTTTGATGACAATTTAATATCACATAAATTGATGCTAAAAGTTACACTTGCCTTACATAACATTATTCAAAATTAAATTATGTCCTTAGGTGACAAGTCATAATTGAAAATAAACAAATTGCGTTTCAAAAATAAATTATGTTATATGTACATAAAAGTTGACACGTTGATTTACACCCATGTGAGTTGACAGATTTTGGTACATCGATCTGGACAATACTTATTTCCACCACCAAAGGAAAAAAAAAAAAGAAAAATAATTTAAAAGAATGAAGTTGACAGAGCCGACAGTTGATAATGAATGGATCATGGATGAGGGAGAGAGAGGTCCCCCTTGTGTCATTCTTCTATTAAATCAAATCTTTTTAATTGATTAGATTTATTTGATTTGATTTGCCAACTCTACAAACATCGAATCTTTTTTCTTTTTTCTTTTATTTAGAATGAGATCAAATTGGTCTAATTTAGCTCTTGCTCGGTACACATTTTTTCAAAATATATTATTTCAAAATTCATTTTTAATCACACATTTTTCACAAAAATAATATTTTTAATCACATCGATAACTTCTTCTTACTTTTTAATCACATATTTCTCATCACATCACTATTTAAAATACATTATTTCCTAAATAGTATCCATCAAACACACCTCTAGAACCTCTCTGATATAAATTTTTTGAGAATAAATTTGGTAAAAAAATAATTTTTAAATAAAGTACTGAGAAAAGTAACGAGTTCACGTGCAAAATTATTTTTATCGAGAGAGCGTATATTTGAAAAAAAAAATGTTTGTTGAAAATAAATTTTAAAGAGCTTCTATCAAACATGATTTGGAATCTCACTGACATAATTGATTTGTTTCAAATAAAGTTGATGATGCATTTTTATTTTTTAACTCGACTCATTAAAATTTCAATCAAAATTCAACTATTTTGTCGAGCTAAGTTTAACTATAAAGATATAATTTCATGTTTTGAGCGATAATTTAGAGAATTCATACATATTTATTGAAATAAAAATTACAAAAACATCCAATAAAGTTTGTTTCTTCCTTTTTTTAACTCGAAAGTATATTTTTATTTCCTCATTTACCATTAGTTATTTTTAATATAATTTGATACTAACCTTGATTATTCTTTTTTCTCACTTCTTAATTTGTGTGATTTTATCGAATAAAATTATATTTTTTAACGTTATTTTTTGGACTCTTATAGTGATAACTAGTGGAGGCACGTGCGATGCACGTGCATGCGTTTTTCTCCTTGTGCATATTAGCGTTGGGACTGCATATGTACACTACAATAAATAGATGGAAGTAAA